TGATGGATGCACGTGAATGGAAAGATGAGGAGGAGACGAAGGTTCAGCAATGACTGATCAGCTGATATAGATCTGTGATCTTTGTGCTGAACTGAGTCCAGTATTAGATCGTRGGAACCGAACCATCCCAGTACAAACACAAGCATTTCATAATAATTATGTTATATTTTATAGATTGGGGACATCAGAGTTGTCTCTGAATTTAATAATACTAATAAAAAAAGTTCCTCCACATTCTGATAGTGTGAAGCGATTATTTTTTTGCCTCATCCTTTGAATTCGATTTTATTTTATTTCAGGCTGCGCTCTCTCTATTGTCCTCACTCTCACTCACTGTGTTAACAGCAGCAGTGTATCAGTGTATTTTCTTTCTCAATGACATCACTGCTGTCTTTTGCGTACGCCATTTCCGGCTTTTGTGTTCACGTACACTTTTAGACTGAATCCCATGCACTGTTTTGTAAATGAGACCCCAGATATTTGCACCACACAAGGATTAAAGCAAGAAATATTTCTGTGCCTGAAATGTGCGCTCACATAAAACCTCATCAGCAGTCAGACCGAAAACCCTTAGCTATTACTGTAATTTAAAAAATTAACTCCAAGGCTCTGGGGTACATTTTGACAGATACTGCTTATTGATTCAGTACTTTAACAGTAATATTAGATATAATGTAAATATAATGTGCTGAATTATAACAGCCCTGACCCCATTTGATGACAGAAACTTTACATTTTTACTTTCAAGAAYATTAAACTGAATTGAACTCTTCAGTCATCTAGCTGTAGTCGTCCACAGATGAGACAATTTTACTTCAGTTTGTCTAAACAGTTACGTTTGATTTGTTCYTGTTTGCGGCTCAGTCCCTGTCTTTGTTTGACTGTAACCTCTGTGGTGTTTTTCCTCTGCAGGATTTTACCCAGCTGATTGATGGTGTCTCACAGGTTGACAGGATCACAAAAAAAAGATTATACAGAGACATTGGTGCATGCAGACATTCAGGTTAGCAGTGCTGGCATTATTAAAGCCACATTAGATAATGTTACTGTTTCATTCTCTTATGAGTCAATACAATGATTTAATAATCTGTTTTTACCAGGTGCTGTTTATAAACCCAACACCACGACTTGTAATCCAGACAACTCCAGTGTAACCTGTAGTTCTCTCTTAGAAGTGACCGTTAACCCCTGTGGAGGAGTGTGCAAGTAAACACATCTCATTTATATTTCCAGTTATATACTTTTGTCTACTTTGTCCAATACTGATACAATATATGTTCATCCCCCATGTGTTAGGTGCCCAGAAGTGGCCACAAACATCACTTGCACCGTGACCGGCTCCACTGTTATCAATTTCTTTGGCAATGCTACCTCCATCCCAGATCGCTGTGCTTACACTCTGATATCACATTCGGGTGTGCAGCTGCTCGCTGTTTTCCAGGACCGCCGCCGTAAAGATGTTAGTCTTTTGGACCATGTGATCCTGCGTATGGATGGACCGGGTGTCAACATTAGCCTGGGACAAGGCGGTAGAGTTCAGGTAAGCCACCTATAGCCACAGGTTCATTTGGAGTGAGTGATGTGTCAGTGTTAGTGTGGACGTCAATTCGGAGTCAGTTCAGAGAGTCCAGCRGCTACTGTAGGATYAAGATTCCTCTGGTGTTTCATCTTTCCAACGTCTCCAACACAACCTTGATGTGATGGTTTTGAGTGTCATGCATTTGATGTTGGGTGGACAGCCCCTTTAAAGAAAGCAGAGCAGATTCATGTTATCTGTCATAGTCTCCTCTGCTCCTCTTGAACAACATCTGTCCACGTTCACTCACTCTCTGTCCTCATGTTCTGACAGGCTCCTTGGTCATGTGAGATGGTGGTTTTGATATGTAGATGAATTTATAGTCACTGAAAGAAGTCACTGTGAATCTTTTTCTGTGTTAAACCAGACAAGGATATTTCACTAACCTGAATCAATGGAATGCTTGAAAAATGCAGGAACCATTGCTGTGCAACAGCAGCTTTAATGGAGACCAAACGCGTTCAGTGAACATGTTAGAAGAAGAAGAAGGAAGATTCCTCTTTATTGTCCCACAATCACACACAGCACTACATGCAACATGGGGAAATTTGACCTCTGCATTTAACCCACCAGTGTGAACACAATACACACAGTGACCACACGGASCAGTGGGCAGCCATGAAGGCGCCCGGGTTCGGTGCCTTGCTCAAGGGCTCAAGGGCACCTCGGCAGTGCCCAGGAGGTGAACCGGCACCTCTCCAACTTCGGTCCATGCTGGACTTGAACTGGCCACCCTCTGGTTCCCAAGACAAGTCTCTATGGACTGAGCTACTGCCTCCCCAATGTTCGTTACGATCGTAACTGTAACATGAATTTAAATATTGTAACGTCAGCGACAGAAGACAGAATCTGCTCGGTGTCGTGATTCCTTCGGTGTGTATCTGCCGCTGCAAATTAGTTGTATATGATGTGATCTCTGGCCGACAAGGTTGGAAAGTCACTAAGTCATCAAGCAGAAACCAGGCTGATTATCATGCCTACTGCAGAGGCAGAGGTAAAGATTTCTACCTGATGTGTTTATCTCCTGCTGGCTGCAGAAGTAGCCACTAAGTTATGGTGCAGCAAGTCAGTGGAGAAAAGTAGCCAGCAGGGGGTCAGAGGGCATGTCCTCCTCTGTCCTCCTCTCTGTGTCATCTGTCCTTCATTTTGTCCTCCTCTC